CACAGACACAGACACACACACACACACACAGACACACATACACACACAGGCACACACACACACAGACACACATACACACAGAAACACACACACACACAGACACAGACACACACACACACACACACACACAGACATATACACACACACACACACACACAAATACAAACCTACAGAAAGACAGCCAGAGTTGCCTCACCTTCATTTACGTTATGGTTGGTGACATAGACGAGCCAGGGATTGAACGTGCCCAGACACATGGCCAGAATGACTTGAACCACAGCCGCCCAGAACAAGTACAACAGAAACGTGCGAGAGAGAAAACATTGCAATAAGCTCCTCCCCTTTCCAGACGCACCATTTTTGCCGATCCCTTTTCTTGACGTCATCTTATCGCTCCGCTCCTTCTCCGTGTCTTTCGTCACGCCGTTTACCTCTATACTTTTTGAAGACCCATTGACTCCGATCGCTAATCCATCAACGCTTTTCTCAAGTTGTAAAGAAGGATAGACTCCAACCTGTTCCGAATTTTTCTCAGGATGAATAACGACAGCGTGTGCGCCATCTTCCACCACCACCATGTCGTCAGCGCTTTTGTCTGGCAAAGAGTTGTTATCGATGACGTAGATGTTGTCGGGCAATGTCGACGGCTTGTCATAGTCGTGGACATCCTCGTTTTTCTCCACTGTCGTTTTGCTGTCGTCTTTGCTGTTGCTGATGAAGTGTCGAGGGAGGAAAAAGAAAGTGCTGACCATCGTGCTGACGTAGAGACCACCCAGGACCAGGAAGGACAGCTGAAGAGAGACTCCCTGCTCGTATGCAATCTGTGAGAGAGATGGGGACAAGACATGTCGGGAGGGAAGAGTGGGCAGAGATATGAGATAAGAAGAGGAGAGATGAGATAAATAAATTCCTGAAAAGACAACATTAGATGAAGAATACTGGCTTCGTTTTTATATTTATATGATGTGTATATCTATACATATTATATTTGTGAAAGTTCGTCACTTTGGCGCCTAAAACCTCTGAATCACTCAACTTTCGAATTCGAAAAATGGTGGTTCAGAATCATTTAAAGGGTGCACAATTTTATTGAGGAGTCAAAGTCAGTGTAGTTTAATTTTCAGTTTTTCATTAGTTTTGTTTAGATCTAATCTTGGGAAAGTCCGTCTTCTAAGACGCCTTTGTAAACAAGTGAGACTTCCGTTCACTAGCCTTGTGCAGTGGATCCACAATGACTTGACGATTAAGTTCGTTCATCAGACAGGGTACCCAGCTATCTCTATCTCTACAATCTCTTCTCTCTCTCTAACATATCTCTATCTCTATATTTTGTGAACGTTCGTCACTTTAGCTGCCTAAAACCCTAGGAACCACTTACCTTTCGAATTTGACAAAATTATAGGTGGTCTAGAATCATTTAAAGGGTGCACAGTTTCATTGAGGAGCCTGAAGTCACTGTAGTTTAGTTTTCAGTTTTTCATTAGTTTAATTCTAATTCAAGATCTAATCTTGGGAAAGTCCTTCTTCTAAGACGTATCTGTAAACAAGGGAGGTTTCCGATTACTAGCCGCGCGCACTGTTTCAACACCTTTGAAATTCTGGAGGGTACAACCTCGAAAGCAGAATAGAGAATCAATAAGTACATCACTAGACCTAAATATCTATATCTAAACCTTCTAATTTTTTTGCATCTCTCAGGATTTATTGTTCCATTTCAGTAGAGTGTAAATATAGTAGGGCAATGACTTTCAGCTGGTGTTAATGCACTGATCATTCCTTTCAACGAAAGGGGACCCAGCTAGTATACAGAGAATCAGACTTATATGTATACATACACAAACACACACACACACACACATACACACACACACACACACTCACACACACGCGCGCGCGCGCGGAGATACAATAAGAGATTAGAAATGATGAGGACCTAGGGAAAAATGGGTAAATATGACATAAGTAGAGACAAGATGAGACTAAATAATACAGGATGAGACGACATAATAGGAACTGATCAGATGAAAACAGGTGATGGATGATAAAGGATGATATACATATGAAATTTGAGTATTTAACGAACGCCCC